TACAATATCCAAAGGAAATGAAATCAGTATGTCAAAGAGATATCGCCACTCCCATGTTTATTGCAGCACTATTCACAAGAGTGGAGACACAGAATCAACCTAAGTGTTCATCAATGGATGCATGCAGAAAGAAAAGTACTGTATCTACACAATGGAGTACTTACACAGCCACGAAAACGAATGAAGTCCTGTAGCTTGCGACAACACAACACAGATGGACCTAGCAGACATCAAGGTTAAGTGGAATAAGCCAAGCACAAAAAGACAAATGCCACATGATCTCACTCATATGTGAGAGCTCAAAAAAAAGAGTTGGTACCATAGAAGCAGAGCACAGAACAGTGGTTACCAGAGACTGAGGAGGGGAGGGAGAGGTTGTCAAGGGGTCATGGTACAAGTTATAATCTAAATTCTGCTGTTCTTGCACAGCAAGGTAATGATGGTTACCAGTAAGTTACCGTAAAATACAAAAGAGCTAGAAGAGCAGCTAGAAGAGCAGCTTCTGAACGTCCTGACCACACAGAAACGATGAGTGTGGGAGATCACAATCACGCTAGTACTCTCATTTGATCACTCTACAACACATACGTGTACTGAAACATCAAACTGTTCCCCACAAATATATACAATTACAGTGCGCCAAGAAAAATTTTAATAGAACGTTTCAAAAAGCTGGGGTAGGGGGATGACATAAACTAAAATAACAGAGGACAAAGGCCATTTACCAGACCAACTTCCTTTAGGAAGGATCACTTGTGTGCCATGGGTGCACCATCTCAAGAGGCAGCAACTCAGTGGAGGGATCAGGGTCACTAGGCATCTGGGAGGGGGCAGAAGTCGGTGCTCCTGGAAGTGGTCCAGGCTGGGAAGGAAGCAGGTTCTGTGTGGCCACCCCATGACCAAGGTGCACACGCACCCCCAGGCCCAACGGCCATTCCAATAGTTGTGACTCTGGTCTGCACAGAGAGCTGAAGATGCAAGTCCCATGCACAGGAAGTCATTAGGGGAGGAAAGATGGGTTCCTGCCAGGACAGCCAGACTGAGAAGCTACATCTGCAGTGAGGAGAACTTTCCAGATCCTGGAGGGCCCAGGGAAGCCAGACAAGCCTGGGTATCCTCATTCAGCTGGCTTGGCAGGCCATGTCTTGCAAGCATCATGGGCTCTGGAGTAAAGCACGTAAGCCCAAGCCTGGCTCAGCCACCAAGTTACTCTGTGACCTTCAAGATGCCAGGCCTGGACAAAAACACAGCTGGGCCTGGTGCTGAATGCTGCCTTCGCACATCTGAGGGGCTAGCAAAGGGCAAACAGATCAGACCTCCCAGGACGCTCTACTGTAGGAGGCTTGGATCTGGGCTGAATTTAAGACACAACTTTCATGATGAAGACGCTAGTGCTTTACCAATCCACCTCATTTTCTCCCCAAATACATCTTTATGAGCAGGCCCTATTATTGTGCCCATTTTATAAAGCAAAAACAAAAGCGAAGAATTGGAGAGGCTGGGAAACCTGCCCCGAGCTCACATCGTGGCTAGACGTGGAACACACACCCACCACAGGTCTGTCAGCCTCCAGCACAACCCAACAAGCATCCTTTCACTATCTGAAAGCATTCATTCTTTCACTCACTCATTCAACTAACCAACCAACAGCAGCAACCCAGACAGACACGAACCCCACCACGGCAGAAGTGACCCCCACAGCAGCAGAGGCGTTCTGCCCTTCACGCTCTGTAGCTTGGCCTACCGTTAATTTATCTGCTGCCAAGTCTCTGGCTAGGAATGGAATTCCCAATAACAGCATTGACCCTATGGAAAAACACACCCCACTCTACAACAATCCATTTTATTCTGGGACCCCCACAAGCACACTACAGAGAAAATAGGGGTTGCCAGCAAATGCTTCACAAGCAAGAACCCCCTTCCCACTGACATCCATTGGAAAGCCCCCGAGATTCCCCTAGGCCCTAACAGGCTCCCACAGACCACAGCCTCCCAGGGACATAGCTCTTCTGCTAAGGATATTTAATTCACCAGAATGCACCTCAAAAAATAAGAACACTCTAATAGTGGCAGTAGAATGAAAACTAAATTTAGGAATGATTTAAGTAGGAATGAAAATGACTTTGAGCTAGTCCAGGTTTATTCTAAAACACCTTCTATTGCCTTTGGTGACTGTGGTTAGATTTGAGGTCTGCCACTACCAAAATCCATTCAAGACAGATTGATGACCTATCTCCTAAGAGTGCAAAGGAACACCCTCAGCACCCAGCCCAGGGCCTGCTTCACAGTGTCTACTCAATAAATATTTGTTAAATAAATCAATGAATAAATGAACGAATTAGTGAATACATAAAAAGTATACACCAAGTTATGAACAGTGGTTTTCTCCACGGAGTTAGACTAGAAGGGAAGACTTCCAGTTTTCACTAAATGTATTGAATACACATGAACTTTGTGGTTTTAAAATGGTATTTAGCATTGTAAAAAAGGGGCACACAACAGACAAGCTATGTTGGCACTGGACAGGAACAGCTGTCAGAAACCAGCCTCAAGACCAGGCACAGTGGCACATGTCTGTAATCCCAGCACTTTAGGGGGCCAAGGTGGGTGGATTCCTTGATGTTTGAGCTCAGGAGTTCGAGACCAGCCTGGGCAACATGGAGAAGCCCTGTCTCTACAAAACACACAAAAATTAGCTGGAGGCCAGGCGCCATGCCTCATGCCTATAATCCCAGCACTTTGGGAGGCCGAGGTGGGTGGATCACCTGAGATCAGGAGTTCAAGACCAGCCTGGCCAACGTGGTGAAACCCCATCTCTACTAAAAATACAAAAATTAGCCGGGCATGGTGGCTAACACGTGTAATCCCAGCTACTTGGGAGGCTGAGGGAGGAGGATCGCTTGAACCCAGAAGGCGGAGGCTGTAGTGAGCTGAGATTGTGCCACTGCACTCCTGCCTGGGCAACAGAGCAAGACTGTCTCAAAAAAAGAAAAAAGCCAGGCATGGTGGTGCACGTCTATAGTCCTTACTACTCAGGAGGCTGAGGTGGGAGAATGACTTGGGCGCGGGAGGCAGAGTTTGCAGTGAGCCAAGATTGTGCCACTGCACTCCAGCTTGAACAACAGAGCCAGACCCTGTCTCAAAAAAAAGAATTAGAGAAGAATCTGGCTGTCATTATAAAAATAATTTAAAAAGTTTAAGAAGTAAATAAAAAGAAAGTAGTCTCAGGGCCCACACGGCACTGGCACCCCAAACCCAACAGAAAGGCTGGGCAAATTGTGTTTCTCTCCTGAAACAACTCTGGGAGCGGGCGCGGGGGCGGCAGGGGTGTGGCAGGTGTTGCTGAGATACCTGTCCTTTCTCTCCAAAGGGCGCGTGCGGCCTTCACCTGGTGGAGTCGGTCAGTCCACCTCCCTCCCTCCCTGCACACCCATGTTCACAGCAGCCAGAAGGTGGAAGCAACTCAAGTGTTAAGTGCTGAAACAATCAGCAGAACATGGTCCATCCATAGACCGGAATATCATTCAGCCTTAAGATGAAAAAGAAGGAAACTGGGACACATGCTATAACATGGATGAACCTTGAAAGCATTCCGCTCAGAACCTTGAAGACATTTCACTCTTAGGATGAACTAACAGAGCAATTCCCCTCTCTTCCTAAAGAATGCCAGCCACTGAAGGACAAGGACAGCATGATCCTGAGAGGTGAAACTAGCTGGGCTTCTGGGTCGGGTGGGGACTTGGAGAACTTTTCTGTCTAGCTAAAGGATTGTAAACACACCAATCAGCACTCTGTGTCTAGCTAAAGGTTTGTAAACACAGCAATCAGTGCTCTGTGTCTAGCTAATCGGGTGGGGACTTGGAGAACTTTTGTGTCTAGCTAAAGGATTGTAAATGCACCAATCAGCTCTCTGTCTCTAGCTAAAGGATTGTAAATGCACCAATCAGCAGTCTGTAAAACAGACCAATCAGCAGTCTGTAAAATGGACCAATCAGCACTCTGTAAAATGGACCAATCAGCACTCTGTAAAATGGACCAATCAGCAGGATGTGAATGGGGCCAAATAAGGGAATAAAAGCAGGCCAACCAAGCCAGCAGTGGCAGGCTGTTCAGGTCCCCTTCCACACTGTGGAAGCTTTGTTCTTTCGCTCTTCACAATAAATCTGGCTGCTGCGCACTCTATGGGTTTACACTACCTTTATGAGCTGTAACACTCAACGCGAAGGTCTGCAGTTTCACTCCTGAAGCCAGCGAGACCACCAACCCACCATGAGGAACGAACAACCCTGGACGCGCCACCTTTAAGAGCTGTAACACTCCCTGTGAAGGTCTGCAGCTTCACTCCTGAAGTCAGCGAGACCAAGAACCCACCAGAAGGAACCAATTCCGGACACAATCCCAGTCCTATGAGGTCCCTAGAGTCACTAAAATCATGAAGACAGAAAGCGGAAGGGTGGCTGCCAGGGGTTGGGGGAGTAGGGAATAGGGAGTCCGTGTTGAATGGGAAGGAGCTTCAGCTAGGAAAGAGGAAAGAGCTTGGGGATGGATGGGGCTGGTGGCCACACTACAATGTGAATGTACTTATTGCCACTGAACTGACCATTTTAAAAGGGCTAAGATGGTCAAAGGGCTAAGGTAAAATACGTTATCCTTATTTTACCTTAATTTAAAAATCATCATCACCATCAGGTCACTGATGTGATGCCATATGGGTGAGATCCAGTCACAGTGGCCTTCCTGGCTATGGTCACACAGACTTGAACTCTGTCTCTTATGAAAGCATTGTCCCGATGAAAGAAGCCAGAAATGACTTGAAGGATGTGAGACACTATTTAGGAGGGAAACGGAAACTAGACTGCCATTCCATCCTCCTCCGCCACCCCCAACAATCCCCCACCAGGCCGTGCTGCTGAGCTGCAGAGGGGCACTCGGCCCACGCTGCCTCCGGAAGAGCCCAGTGCCTTCAAGGTTTCACTGTGACTAGGACAGACTCAACTCACCAAGTGGAGAGAATCAAAGACGCCCTTACCGGATTCTCCATGAGCTGGAAGCAGGCCAGGGATCTGCTGCAGACCAGACACCAGAAGGTTCTCAGGAAGAAGGTGGAACGCAGGCTCCAGGGCCGGGTGTGGCTTCAGCGTGTACTGCAGGCTGCAGTTCTCAATAAGGGTCATGTGTTTGTTTTCTGGGGAAGAAAACACCAATGTGATCAATTGATAGCTAAAAGCAAAGGCACTTCCAGTCAAACCAGCCAATAAACAGAGAATGTTAGAAATGCCACAAACAGGAAAGGGACTTTTCTAGGAAAAGTATAGTAGTGCTCTGTTCAGCTCAGAGTGAAAGGCATTGGTCTTCAATAACCTTCTCTGGGAAAGTTACAATTTACACATTTTTTTGATTTTTCTTTTTTTGGTGGTGTTTTTGTTTTTGTTTTTAGAGACAGGGTCTCGCTCTGTTTGCCCAAGCTGGAGAGCAGTGGTGTAATCATAGCTCCCTGGAGCCTCAAACTCCTGGGCTCAAGTGATCCTCCCACTTTGGCCTCCCAAAGTGCTGGGATTACAGGCATGAGACACCACGCCTGGCCTGGAGGTGCAGTTTTTAATCCAGCATAAAATCTCTCCCACCCACTACTTCCCTCAGTCTCCTGAGAGCACAGACAGGCACAGGCTGTGTGGTTTCCCCAGGTCTCGCTGGTCCCTGCCATCAGAGGGGCCTGGAGGACACCCTGGCCCGAGGCCTGCCTCCCTGCCTGCGTGTGTCGGCACTGGTATCCACCAAGCCCCAAAAGGAGCAGGGCAGCACTGGAGGGAGGCCAGCAGCATCAGAGACAGAGCCCTGTCCTCAGGGAGGTGCCAATTTCCTGGGGTGACGGCTAAGATCAAACACGCAGATACCCATAACGCACGGGAGAACTGGATCCAAACCACGGGACAGATGTGGGTAAAGCATGAGGGGAAACGCGAGGAGGAAAAAGGGCATGAGGGCATGAAGGAAAGCCCCCGGAGAAATGACACCCAGGAGGAGTGTGGCTGCACCGCAGTGGGGGCAGGCCCTGACGGTGGAAGGAATAGCATCCCCAGAAATGAGGGTGTGGGGAGAGGCACAACCCCGAAA